CCAGTCAGAGTGGCTAAAATGAGCAAATCAGAGAACTCTAGATGCTGGCGAGGATGTGGAGGAATGGGCACCCTCCTACACTGTTGGTGGGAATGGAAACTGGTGCAGCCCCTCTGGAAAACAGTGTGGAGGTTCCTCAGGAAACTCACAATAGAACTCTCCTAGGACCCAGCAATAGCACTGCTAGGAATTTACCCAAGGGATACAGAAATGCTGATGTATAGGAGCACATATACCCCAATGTTCATAGCAGCACTCTCCACGATAGCTAAAACATGGAAAGAGCCTAAGTGTTTATCAACAGACGAATGGATCAAGAAGATGTGGGTTATCTATACCATGGAATACTCCATGGCAATGAGCAACAATGAAATCTGGCCATGTGTAGCAACATGGATGGACCTTGAGGGTGTTATGCTGAGCGAAATAAGTCAGGCAGAGAAGGACAAATATCATATGTTTGCACGTATAGGAGGATTAGGAGGAACTTAACGGAGGACCATGGGGGAGAAGAAGGGGGAAAATGGTGGGGGAAAGGGAGAGAGGCAAACCATGAGAGACTCTTGAATGCTGAGAAACAAACTGAGGACTGATGGATGGGGGGGGGGATGGGCATGGAGGAGGGCACTTGTGGGGATGAACACTGGGTGTTATATGGAAACCAATTTGACAATAAACTATTTGTAAAATAAATAAATAAAATAAAATTTTTAGCTTGAAGGGAAAAAAAAGTCCAGCTTGTCTGATATAAAAAAAAAAAAAAAGATAGGTGAGATGAATTTCAAATTTCTCTAATCAGCACCAAAGTCCCTTTCCCATTCTGAGTCCTGTCTACCTCTCCAGTGCCATCTCTTCCTCTCCCAACCCCACATTCTGGGGGGCTCCAGATCACTTGCATGGCCCTCAACAAGTCAGTCACTTTATACCCGCAGGACTTCACCCAAATTCTATTTTAATATTTATTAATATTTGAGAGAGAGAGACTGTGAGCAGGGGAGGGACAGAGAGAGAGGGAGACAGAGGATCCAAAGCAGGTTCTGTGCTGACAATCAAGCCTGATGCAGGGCTCAAACACACAAATTGTAAGATCATGACCTCAGCTGAAGTTGGGCTCTCACTGGACTAAGCCACCCAGGCAACCCTCAAATTCTATTTCTTTAATTAACTTTCCCATTTCTTTGCTTTATCAAAGATTCAACTTCAGATTTCTGCCCCTGGAAAGTCTTTTTTGGGGGAAAAAGAAACTTTTTAAATTAAAACTTAAGGTTTGGGGGTGAACTTTTTAAATTAAAACTTAAGGTTTGGGGGTGTTTTTTGTTTGCGGTTTTTTTTTTTTGTGGGGTTTTTTTTTTTTTTTTTTTTGGTTTAGTTTAGTTTAGTTTTTGTTTTTTGCTTTCTAGCTGTTGGTGTTGCTGGCCACATTTCAAGCTCAGGATCCTAAAGAGACTTAGGCTACTGTCTCCCATAAGCCTGGTCTTCAAATAGCCACACTGGGTACATTAGAATGTACTAATGCAGAGATGACCATTGAATATTGTTTAAAGTTGATTTAAATGGCAGCAAATGCAAAAGCCAGTGCCTATTGGCAGAAGAAATCATTAGTTTTGCCTCCTATGAATGTAGTGCACATACCTAACACAAACACAAGAGAAAGCCCGCCCGGGCCTTTGTTAGGAAAGAGCTTTTGGTGCATCAGGTAATCTTACTCATTTGAAATCTAATTTGACACATAAATTGCTTTTCCTTACTTTTGATCGATTTTTAGAAAGAGCATGAAATGAATGTTTTTTCATTTATTTCTCTATGTTGAGAATGTCCTTTGTTGGATTGGACATGAGGAAAATTTTGGATTTACTTTTCATGTTTTGGTGACACATCTTAGAATCTGTAAACTTCAGACCAAAATAAAAAGAAATATTTAAAAGCCCCTGAGAAATATTCAGACCTTCTGTTGCATAAGGAGTGTACCATCTGGTAAGAAAAGAGTCTGGGGGAGCCTGACTTTGGCTCAGGTCATGATCTCACGGTTCGTGGGTTCGAGTCCTGTTTTGGGCTCTGTGCTGACAGCTAGCTCAGAGCCTGGAGCCTCTTCGGGTTCTGTATCTCCCTCTCTCTCTGACCCTCCCCTGCTCACGCTGTCTCTCTCTCTCTCAGAAATAAATAAAAACATTAACAAATTTTAAAAGAAAAAAGAAAAAAGTCTGAACACCTCTGAAACATGTGGTTCACTTTTTTTCTTCTCATTTTCCCCCATCCTTTTGAGAGAGAGGGATAAGTACTAAGAGTATACATTTTTTCTCTTGAATGCTCTGACATCTAAATTCTCCCTGTCCTGTCTGCTCAGAACTGGCTTGGGAAAGACAAAAAATATTCTTTTTATTAAGTTTATTTATTTATTTTGAAAGACAGAGAGAGCAAATAAGGGAGAAGCAGAGAAAAAAAGGAGAAAGAGAAAATCCCAAGCAGGCTCCATATTGTCAGTGGAGAGCCCAATATGGGGTTCAAACCCACAAACCATGAGACCATGACCTGAGCTTAAGTCGGATGCTTAACCAACTGAGCACCTGGACACCCTTCTATTTATTTTTTTAAATGTTTATTTATTTACTGAGAGAGAGTGAAAGAAAAAGAGAGAGAAAGAGAGAGAGCAGGTACAAGTAGGAGAGGGGTAGTGAGAGGGAGAGAGAGAATCTCAAGCAGGCTCCTTGCTATCAGTGCAGAGTCTGACGTGGGGCTCAGTCTCACAGATTGTGAGGTCACGACCTGAGCCAAAATCAAGAGCAGGATGTTTAACCAACTGAGCCACCCAGGCGTCCCAAGTATTATTCTATTTAAAGAAGAAAAATGATAGGTCCTAGCACTAGAAAATCACCAGTGGCAGTTTCTTTCATTTTTTATTTAACAAATATTTATTGAGTATCTACTGTCTGCCAGACTGGGACATAGATCCTTTTGCAAGCAAAATCACTCTCATCGGGGGCATTGATGTTTTCGATCATCTCTACCTTGGGAAATATAACGGTTAGTTCTCCGCTGTCATCTTCATTCCTCCTCTCCGTGAATTTACCCTCTTTGCTTCTTCAAATACTTTCTTCTCTAGGCTGCTGAGGCACCATCCTCTCCTGGTTTTCCTTCTATCTTCCTGGCCACGCCTCTGCGATATGATTTGCTAGTTTCTCTGTTCCCTGACAGCTAACTGTTGGATATTTCTTCTTCATCTACATTCTCATCCTAGTGATCTCTACTCCCATGGCTTAGTATCATCTAGATGCTAATGACTTTCAATGTGTTTCTCTAATTCTGCTCTTTACCCCGAGCTCTGGACCGGATCACCTATCCAACTGCCCTTGTAACATCTCCACTCTGGTGTCCAACAGGCATTTTAAAAAGAGCTATTCCCCGTAATGTTCCTCTCTCAGTCTTTCCCATTTAGTAAACTGCATCATTTGCTTGACCAAAAACCTAAACATTAGAGACTATGTTTGGCTGCATGTACAGAAGCCAGCTTAACCAGAGGAAGTCATTCTTTCTTCACATAATGAGAGGACCAGAGACAGGCCAGGGCTGTGCAGCACCTCCTCAATGACAACAATGTCCCAGCTCCTTCTTTTTCTTCACGATCCTCATGGTTGCAGGCCGCCAGCCTCACTTCCAGCCTTGCATTTACATCCCAATGGAAAGACAAGGAACAAATTAACAAGGTGGAAGGCAGAGAACCTATATGGAAATAGTGCAATTCTCAGGAGACTTCTGCTTGAGTCCCGTTGTCCAGAACTATGTTACAAGCTCTACCTCAGCTGCAAGGGAGGCTGGGAAACAGAGCTCTTGAGCTGGGCGCACTGACTGCTACCCTGCACAAACCAGGGTCCTAACATATGGAAGAAAGCCCATTTATGGGCTCGGCAATAGCAGTGACTGCTCTATCGTCCTGCACTGCTCGCTTTTCTGACACTTCCTCACCAGTCCCCCGTCAGGTCCGACTGCTCCCACAGACAAAACATTGGACAAACGGATCTCCAATGTGCTCGACTCCTGGTCTGAGACACCATCATCTCTCAGTCAGAACACAAGAACGGCCTCCTAACTAGTCTCTCTCTTCCACACTTGTCCTCTCTATAGCCCTTTCTTCACACAGCCATCTAGGGTACAGGTTTCCAAGTATAATTACACCATTTTCTTTCTAAAATTCTCCGAGGGATCTGTCACAGTCTAGGTTCCCCCAAGCAGACAGTGAGACGAGGGTTTGCATGCAAGCCGGTTTTTTGAGAGGGACAGACACACAGGGTGGGGTATGTGGTGACTCAAAGAAAGGGAGGTAGGCCAGAGAGAGTGTGACATCAAGCCAGTCTCCCAGGGCAGGCAACTGAAGCTTAACCCTGAGGGAAGCACTGGGAAATGGGGGGAAACACTTGCCCCAGAATTAGGGGGTCCAAGGGGCAAAGGAAGGTACTTATACAGCAGCCCTCAAGAGTTGCTATTGCTGGCTTCAGTTCTCTTGGCTTGAATACCTAGCCCTGAATATACCCCCCTCTCCTGACCTAGCTCACTGACAAAGCCAGCACTTTCTTCTGTTTACCAGCCTTTCTGCTTACAGTCCCGCACAATTTCTTCCAGGTGAAGCAGAACCACCACAGGGTGGGAGAGCCACTTCTTTTCAGTAATAGGGTAACAAATTCCAAATACAATTTTGGGTGACAAATGTCTCTTAGAAGTTTGGTAAGCTTTAGTCTCATTTGAAAGTAGTGAAATTTTGTGATGCTTTGCTCTCTGACAGATACAAAAATGCATATAACATCCTTAACGGCATAGGAAAATTTCAAGCAGGGCCTATGAGATTTGGAATATTTAAATCAATGGATTAAGGTCCACACCATTTAACAGTACTAGTAATTAATTATATGAATATTGTTTCTATCAATGGCATTACTATAACTACAGGTCTGAAGACTATAGATGAACAGGTAGGTATCTCTGCCCTTAGGTCAGTTTACTACTTACCTTTACTCTCCTTTCTTCTTCAATTGTTCTACAAAGTAATCATTGCAGGCAACTGTCAGAGCTGCCAGCATGACCACAAATTCATTAAAATCCACTTCAATGTCCTTATCGGCATCCAGGTCCTGAATTATCTTATCAACCAATTGGGGGTCCTTTTGGCACTAAAAGAAAAGAGAAAATTACTAACTCCCAGGGTTTGAGGTTGATCATGACAAATGAAATTGCACTGTCCTTTTATTTACATTAAAGTTTCAGTTTTCATTTCAGAATCTAATGGCAATTTCCAAAAACCCATTTGCAGGTAGATTTAAACCAAGCACCAATTCCAAATGAGTCTAGCCTTCTTCCCCAGGGCCATAGAATTCTGGCTCAGACCTAAACACCGAGAAGAGCAAACAGCATCTCATCAGAGTGAGCTACTGATCCTGAAAATGCACTTACGCAGCTTCAAAGGTGGAGGGCCAGGACAGGAGACAGGGAACAAAGCAGGCTTTCAAGCCAAAAGGGGATAGTAAGTGGCTCTATCATTTACCAACAATGGGACTTTGAGCAAATAAATCACTTAACATGTTTTAATTTCCTTATTTATAAATTGGGGGAAATATCCCCCCACCAAGTTGCAGGATACTGCAAACACTTTTAAAAGTCCTTAGCACCAGGCTGCTAGATTTAGTAAATAAAAATACAGGACATCCAGTTAAATGTGAATTTCGGATGACAATGAATAATTTTGTAATTATGTCCCAAATACTGCGTGGGAAGTACAGTATTTTATCTGACAGCCTGACTTAGCACAACACTCGTCAGACACAAAAGAGGCACCTAATAAAGTGTAGCTATTGTTTTTTTAAATAGCTTTAAAAAATTATTTTTTAATGTTTTATTTATTTCTTAGAGAGAGACAGCGGGGGCCGGGGAGGGTCAGAGAGAGAGGGAGACACAGAATCTGAAACAGGCTCCAGGCTCTGAGCTGGCTGTCAGCACAGAGCCCGATGAGGGGCTCGAACACACCAACCATGAGATCATGACCTGAGCCGAAGTCGGACGCCCAAACGACTGAGCCACTGAGGCGCCCCTAAAGTGCAGCTATTGTAAGAAGACAACATGGAGCCTATAGAATGAGTCAGGGTCCAGAAAGTGTGGGACTAGGAAACACTCACTTGTCCTAGTAGCTGATGAGAAATTTTTTTTTAAAATATTTTTATTTATTTCTAGGAGAGAGAGAGAGAGAGATAGCACGAGCAGGGGAGGGTCAGAGAGAGAGGGAGTCACAGACTGAAACAGGCTCCAGGCCCTGAGCTGGCAGTCAGCACAGAGCCTGACGCGGGGCTCGAACCCACGAACCGCGAGATCATGACCTAAGTGAAAGTCGGACGCTTAACCGACTAAGCCACCCAGGTGCCCCTGATGAGAAATTTTTTTAAGTTTATTTATTTATTTTGAGAGACAGAGAGAGCAGAGGAGAGGCAGAGAGAGAGAGGGAGAAAGAAAGAATCCCAAGCAAGCTCTGCACTCTCAGCTCAGAGTCAGATGTGGATCCAGAAATATTTTTTAAAGTAGTTCATTTCCTCCAGGAATTCCTCCATTGCCCTTTCAATAGGTGCCAACTATTAAAAGGTTGGAAATGTTAAGTGATCAAAATCAACTTGATCAAAACAATTCTAAATCTCACTTAAATCAATGTGCCAAGTTTGAACTGATGAGACTTTTATTCTACATATTATAAACTCCAGTAGCCAAACTGAATTTGAAAAAAAATTTTTTTTAAGTTCCTGGGGATGCCTAAAATTGTTTAAAAAGTACTGTGAAGAATTATAATTTAGGGGCACCTGGGGGGCTTGGTCAGTTAAGTGTCTGACTCTTGGCTTCGGGTCAGGTCATGATCTCACTTTTTAGCAAGTTCAAAACCCAAGTCAGGCTCTAGGCTGGCAGCGAGGAGCCTGCTTGGGATTCTCTCTCTCTCTCTCTCTCTCTCTCTCTCTCTCTCTGTCTCTCTGTCTCTCTCCCCGCGCCCCCCCGCCCCCCCCGTACGTCACCCCTCTCTCTGCCCTTCCCCAACTTGGGCTGTCTCTGTCTCTCTCAAAACAAATAAATTTTAAAAAGTTTAAGAAGAATTACTGTGTCAAAAATTTTTTACTTTAGGGGTGCCTGGCTGGCTCAGTTGGTAGATCTCAGGGTTGTGAGTTCAAACCCCACACTGGGTATAGAGAGTACTTGAAAAAAATATATATATATTTTTTTTACTTTAAGGGTTTCCTATAGAGACTGAGCAGAAAAGAGTGATCACCAACACTAGAATCTTAGTACAAGGTTTGGACAGATAACATCGTGCAAGGACAGCACCTTCTGCTCCAGTCAATTCAAAGCAGCTCCATAAACATCGGAGTAAAGGGCTTTCCTTAGAAGGGAAAAGCCGCCACCGCCCACCCCCAACCACTCCACTGTAAGCCTTTGTGTGTAGATTAATTAACTCCTGGCTATTTTGAGATGTGAATCTCTGTGCTACTCAACTGGTCACTGGCCAACACACCCTTTCTGTCATCCAGAATCAGCCTCTGCTTCTCTGACAAAGCTAAATATTTGTCATTCACTAGAAAACGTGCCTCCACAGCATAAAGTCCCCCGGGCTTCATTTCTGGCCCCATCCATAATATTAACTTTATAGATAGCTAGACAAAGCGCCAGCTGTTAACCAGTGCCACGACTTATGACCAAAACCCCTGGTAAAACTGGCTGTTTCTTTGCTGCACCGGAATGTTGAATAATTGAAGAAAGTCTAAATATCATTTACAACCTCAGGAAAGCCTCGCCACAGGCGGTATGGAAAAGGGTCCATGCCTATATAACAGTGGACTCTCCAGCCTCACATGGGTTAGGACAGCTAACACCCCCCCCCCCCAAAGAGATGAAAATCTGTGCACAACTTTTGACTCTCCAGAAAGTTGTGACTTCCCAAATACTTAACTGCTAATAGCCTGCTGTGGACAGGAGGCTTACTGATAACATCGGCCACAGATCAACACGTATTTTGTGTGAGGTATTATTATATACTATACTTTTACAATAAAGCTAGAGAAAAGGAAACGTTATTAAGCAAATCGTAAGAGAAAATACATTTACAGTACTGCACGGTACAAGATCCAAACATAAGAGGACCCACCGCAGCCTAAATCCGGTGTTGTTCGAGGATCGACAGTACACAGAACACCGAGGCCTCTAGTGTTTGCTTGCCTGGCTCTTGAATCTCAGTACAAATTGCACTGTTGAGGGGACCCTTGACGGCTCAGTTGGTTGAGCAGCTGACTTCGGCTCAGGTCATGATCTGGAGGTTCCCTAGTTCGAGCCCCACATCGGGCTCACTGCTGTCAGCGCAGAGCCCGCTTCAGGTTCTGAGTCTCCCTCTCTCTCCCCCTCCCCAGCTCTCTCTCTCTCTCTCTCTCAAAAATAAACATTAAAAAAAAGAGAGAGAAAGAAATCAATTGCGCTGTTGGCGACAGAGTCCTAGGAGACCGTACACACGGGCTGTCGTTGCGTGGGGACCACATCCAGCCTCCACTGACGGGCCCGAAAGCTGCGACTGACCTTAGACGAGCTCCGTGAGCTCTTGCTGCAGGAGCATTTTCAGCTGCCCCTTGTTGAGCCTGAACCTGTCCCCTTCCTTGCAAGAGTACTGGTGGAAGATTCTGATCATGATGTTCATGGCCATCTCCAGCTGAGTGGGCATGGTGAACCGATCACTCCGGGGACTGGCCACCACACTCAGGGGGAAGAAAAACACTTGTTCAAAGCAAGCAGGTGGGGAAGCATCAACACGTGCACCCAAACAGCACACTGCCTCCCCCAGTCCGGCCACACCGCGGGGGAGGCTACTCAGACCGGGAAGGCTCTTCACTTAAAGCGCTTGCGCAGCTAGGGCAGGTTGCGGAGGGGTCTGTGCAGGCGAGCGTTCTCTTCGCCAGTCCCCACTCCCCCCAAAGCTAGCAGTCCCAGTGGGATCGCCAGTTGTCGACCAGACACCAAATACAGTCATATTAAAACACAGATAAACAAATAAACGAATGAAACATAGATGAAAAATATAACTAGAAGATGAAGAAAATACCCAACTGCGTACCTGTTCATCCGAGGCACGACTCCCTGTACAGGTGTTTATAATTAAAATCTACCCTTTATACCTGGGGTCCACCCAGGCACATCTGTTCCCCAGGGGACAAAAATTACCAGCCACGAGAGATTCAAATGGAAGGGCCTCCGGGTCTGTTTTTAATCAGCAGAAGGAACAGGTGTGCACTGCTGCCCCGAGGGCCCTGGAGGAAGGGCCTCACCCACCTGAGTGCATTAGATGAGAAGGCAAATGAGAGGCAAAGGGGAAGCCCTCAGTACCCTCCCTGTGGGGAATGTGTGTGGAACTTACATTCAGGTGCTAGGAAGTTGGTGACTGGGAAGAACTTTAAAAATAGAGGAGAGGGGCCCCTGGGTGGCTCAGTCGGTTAAACGTCTGACTTTGGTTCAGGTCATGTTCTTGCATTTGTGATGTTCCAGCCCAGCGTGAGGCTCTGCGCTGACAGCTCGGAGCCTGGTGCCTGCTTGGGATTCTGTCTCCTTCTCTCTCTGCCCCTCCCCCCCCACTCATGCTCTGTCTCTCTCTCAAAAATAAACATTTTTTTTTTTTTAAATTAGAGGAGAAAAGAAATACTGGTTCAAACCTGTAAACTCCTTAGCAGGGCCAATAGCAAGATCAAAGGAATAAACAGAGCAGACTAGTTAAGCTAATTGAATGGATGATTGTGCAGCTGTTAAAAAGAGAGACAGAGAGAGAATGGGGAAACTCTCCATATGCCAAGTTAGAAAGGAACAAAGCAATCCCAACTGTGTAACAAAAGGAAAAAACCCCCACAGATTACACGAATATATATACATATATACTTGCATTTGCCCAAGGAGTCACTGAAAAGATGCATAAGAAATAGAAGTGGGATATATATATATGTATATATATATGTGTAAACACACAATTAATATAAGATACATGATATTACATATGTACTGTTACACATAAATGTACATGATAGTATCAACGTGTGGTACACCTTGGTGTTTTGCACTTAACATATCTTAAAATATTAAAAAAAAATTTTTTTAATGTTTATTTTTCAGAGAGAGACAGACAGAGCATGAGCTGGGGAGAGGCAGAGAGAGAGGGAGACAGAATCCAAAGCAGGCTCCAGGCTCCGAGCTGTCAGCACAGAGCTCGATGCATGGCTTGAACCCACAAACCGCGAGCTCATGCCCTGAGCTGAAGTGGGACGCTCAGCCGACTGAGCCACCCAGGCACCCTTTCTGTCACTATTTTTTTTTAAATTTTTTAATGTTTATTTATTTTTGAGAGAGAGTGGGGGGGCGGAGCAGAGAGAGAGGGAGATGCAGAATCCAAAGCAGGCTCCAGGCTCTGAGCTGTCAGCACAGAGCCCGACACGGGGCTCGAACATACGGAACCATGCGATCATGACCTGAGCCAAAGCCGGACACGAACCGACTGAGCCACTCAGGCGCCCCTTCTGTCACTATTTTTAAATATTAGTTGATGTGGCCTGTTTCTCTCCATTCTTCTCCACCTTGGGACTTCAAAATTTTGGTCTCTATTACCGAAACAGAGGTAGCTTCCTTTCTGTTCTCTCTACTTTCTGTCCTCCATTCCCATTTCCATTCTGCTGTCAGACTAGTTTAGCAAAAGCACACATCACCGCCCTCACCCCTGGGCGGTCAAAAGTCCCACGATGCCTAAAAACGGACCAAAATGCTGTGTTCTCATTCGTGCTTGCCATGGCACATTCTGAGAATGCTCATTGTGTCTACTCTTTGAAGCTCAGTTCAAATATCTCCTGTTGAAACGTTTCCAGTGCTTTCCCATCTTCCAACCTCCCACCTTGGGTAGGTGCCCGTCTGTCTTCTTATCCACTGGAGCATCTCTTTATCATTTGTATTATTTCATTTAGCATACATTCCTGTAATCACTTTTTTCAGCCTGCCCATATAGTCTCCACTCTACAGACCATGGATGAGTCCTTTGATGATAGATTTTTGCATTCTGGTTCATTTTTGCATTCTACAGCATTTAGCACCAATTCCAACAATAGGTGGGAAATGCTCAGAAATCTTTGCTGGTGGATGGATTTATGAGCAAGTGCCCCAGAGTGGGAAACTGTGAGATCTTCTAAGAGTTCAGCCTTGTCTAGCTTAATTCTCTAAAGATTTGATTGCCTTTACTTCATATAAAAACCTTGGTGTCATCAAAGGGAGAGACAGAAAATAGTCCTTTCAAAGAATATAAACAGTCTGAATTTGGAATTAAATATTTTCAGATTCAGCTGCTGACATTATAAATGCACTAAATCTTACAGAGCATGTATGTCTCAGCAGTGTTGTAGTTAAATCCTATTCAACCACAAATAAATTTACATAGAGAATTCAGAGGGCAGGCAAAACTCTTAATAGAAGAGAAACGTAAAAGTGTCATGCTATAATCTGATTTGAGAGATGAGAATGTGACCTCTGTATTCTTTGCTCTTGGGGTTTAGAAAAAAGGTGGTTTCTGCTTGGTTTCGGCTTGGTTTTTAGCAGACCTAGCTATTTCTTTTGGTGCATGCTGCTCCCTATTGTCAGGCTTCAGAACTGCATCTGGAAAAACTCATAATTCTCAGAATGTGCTTGACAATTGTGTAAGACTCTTGGCTCCTCAGGGGCTTATCTGTGATGTAAGCCAGCCTCAACCTCCACCCTCCGGGAGTCTTTCAGGAACAAAGATAAGATCAAAAGGACCCGGGTCAGGCTAGGAATGCAAATTTACAAGTGACTTAAAGTTCCTGGATGGGCAAGGAAGACATATCTGTTTAAAGCACTTTACATATTCTATTAATTATTACAGTTTTACTTTTCCATCTCTGACATGAGTTGTAACTCTTAGGGCTAAACGGTACAACTGTGCATCCAAATTGGTGTGCAAAGAATGAGAGGAATGGAAATTTCCGATCTGGGGGAGTTTACAAATAGGGGCTATTTTGGAGGGAAAAAGTACAAATCCACAGGAAAACAAAAAGAGGAGGGCTGGTTAAAGTGGAGCTTTGGCCCCAGAGCCTAAAAGAAAGGAAATCTGTGGGGAAAAAATAGGCCATCATATTAACTGGGACACCACCGAGCCCCCCGGGGTGCAAGATCCTAGGAAGCTTTGCCTCTGGGGCCAAGGCCAGAGTTATGCAGAAGGCCAAGTTTCCAGTTTTTGTCTTTTTTTTTTTTTTTTAGGTTTTTGATGTTTATTTCTGAGAGAGAGAACAAAAGACAGGTGAGCGAGGGAGGGGCAAAGAGAGAGGGAGGCACAGAATCCAACGCAGGCTCCAGGCTCCAAGCTATCAACATAGAGCCCAGTTCGGGGCTGGAACCCACCAACCAGTGGGATCATGACCTGAGCCAAAGTTGGACACTTAACTGACTGAGCCACTGAGGCACCCTTGTCTTTTTATTTAACCCGATTCAAAAGTTCTGACAGTTTCATAACAATGACATGGATGAAATCTGTGATTACATGGGGGTAAGAGGGAGGGATTACAAGGCAGCATGAGGAAACATTTGGGAGTGATGGATATGATCATTGTCTTGATTGTGGTGGTGGTGTACATGTGTCTGAAGTTACCCAAATATACATTTTAAATGTGTGTGCTTTATTATGTGGTCCATTACAACTCAATAAAGCTATTCAAAGAAACCTTCCCAGAATCACATAACTAGATTATAGCATGTTGATGTTCAAACTCATGTTTGTCTGACATAACTAACTAAATAGATAAAAGTATGTAGCCATTTAAAATTAGAATTAAAAGACTGAAGGAATAAAACAGAAAAAAAACTACAGAAATGCACATTTTTTTCCCAGCACAATAAATGACAATAGCAAAATAACCATGTGTGAAGTCATTGAAAAAGAAGGAAAAAGAAGGAAAGAAAAAGAAGGAAAATACAAGTCATTTCAATAGTCATTTAATACAATTATGGATGATTTTTCAATTTTTCAATGCTGCTGTTGTATTTTCCATTAAATATCAATTATAATTGTATAGTATCTAAAATTATAATCTATCTCCATATTAGGCAATGTCTCTTAAGGTAGAATGTTGAAGTTTAAAACTTATAGAATTCTAGATTCAGGGGCGCCTGGGTGGCTTAGTCGGTTAAGCGTCCGACTTTCGCTTAGGTCATGATCTCGCAGTTCGTGGGTTCGAGCCCCGCGTCGGACTCTGTGCTGACTGCCAGCTCAGAGCCTGGAGCCTGTTTCAGAGTCTGTGACTCCCTCTCTCTCTGACCCTCCCCTGCTCGTGCTGTCTCTCTCTCTCTCTCCTAGAAATAAATAAAAATATTTTTTAAAAAATTCTAGATTCAAAATGATTATGCCATGTTTTTATATATGCAAGAGAAAAGATAAAAGAACAATGCAAAAATGTTAATAGGAGTTTTTGCAGGGGTATTTTTCTTTTTTCTGTATGTGTTATTCTTGGTTTTGGTAATTTTCAATCTTTAGTCATAGCTATTTTTACTTTTATAACAAAAAAATGCAGTGAAATGTTTTAAAAATCATAGAGTTGGAAAAGCATTTGAACCACCTAAATATAGATTTTTGGCTGTACTATCTACTGACTTTCCTCAGGCACTTTCGAGTTTGCAAAGCTCGTTTTA